TTAAAAGGAGATTAGATTTCTACCATGTTCTTTACCAAATAGGATGCCCTGGAGGAAATGTATATTTAGGTCAGAAGGTGGAAGGTTTTTCTTACGGTATAATGGAAAGAAAATGTATCTTGTAATGATGGTTTATATCACACAAGGGAGGCAATAAGTAAAAGCTTTGCTCTCACCCATCACCAAAAGATAGAAGGAGTTTTACTGTGTTAATGGGCCGGTTGAAGCAAATGCTGTTTGCATGCCTTGCGTTGAGGATGTGGGTTTTGCTGTATATCCACCAATTCCCTTTTTTAACCCAAGAAGACCCATCAATCAACGTTATCATGGTGAATTATATTGCTGGGGTTGTAAATTTCATCTTTATGACAGTAATGCAGCAAAATTTGACAGAGAGGGAGGGAGGGAGGGAGGGAGGGAGAGAGAGAGAGAAAGGGAGAGAGGGAGAGAGAGAGATGCATATTTATATAAGAGAGAACACATGCAGAAATGCATTTCCTGGCTAATAAAACTCAGTAGCTTGAAGATCTTAGTGCATATTTTTGGAAAATTGAAGTTTCTAGTCCTTAAGACAGAAGAATTAGTACATGATATCCAGAGGTGGTATTCAGCCAGTTCAGACTGGTTCGGGTGAACCAGTAGCAGGAACTGTGGCCCGCCCACCCACCTGGACCTAATGCCATCCTATTTAGCCATGTTTTTGAGGCTGGGTGCATGTGCGGAAGACACGCGTGTGAGCAAAGTGTATGTGTGGAAGGCCGGGCGCAGGCGTGGAAGGTGGCAACCAGAGATGGGTTTCAGCAGGTTCTGACCAGTTCTGGAGAACCGGTAGCAGAAATTTTGAGTAGTTCGGAGAACCGGTAGTAAAAATTCTGACTGGCCCCGCCCCCATCTATTTTCTGCCTCCCAAGTCCCAGCTGATTGGAAGGAAATGGGGATTTTGCAGTAACCTTTCCCTGGATTGGGGAGGAAATGGAGATTTTACAGTATCGTTCCCCTGCCACGCCCACCAAGCCATGCCCACAGAACCGGTAGTAAAAAAAATTGAAACCCACCACTGCAATGGATGAAAACGAATCAAAGAGAGAAGCAACCTAGAACTAAGAAGAAATTTCCTTACAGTGAGAACAATTAATCAGCAGAATGGCTTCCCTCCAGAAGTTGTGGTTGCTCCAACATTGGAAGTTTTTAAGAAGAGATTGGACAACCACTTGTCTGAAACGGTATAGAGTTTCCTGCCTGGGCAGGGGGTTAGACTGGAAGACCTCCAAGGTCCCTTCCAACTCCGTTATTCTATCCTAAAGCTGTGCTACTTTGGGGGAATTAAAATGACAGCTAGAGCCAACTTCCTAATCTTTTTAAAAAAAAGATCAAGCAGAGATATTCAGAGATGGACATCGCCAGAATGCTGGAATTCAATTGGTTGTTCTAGGACTATACGCATTATATGTAAGAGCTAGAGCAAAGTATGACTTGGAGGAGGAAAAAATCATGGAATTTTCCGAAATAGGGGAAGTACAGTTTTAAATACCAGGTGTTGTGAAGGAACCACAGAGTAGAATTATGCCTTTTATGCCCAATATCTCAACATCCTAGAGGAATATAAGCGGCCTCTTCTGGCAACAGGGTACTGCGTGAACAGCGCCATAAAATCTTCTAGCTGGGCACCTAGATGGAATACCTTATTATCAGCAAACGCATTATATAGCCTTAGGCTAGCTATTATCTCTCAGTCTTAAACTCTCCTTTGCAGTGTAATCAGAATAATAACACATCATCTTACAAATGGTTATTGCAAGATTTACGGAACCTTAAGGAGGCCTCTGAACACTCAGAAATATCATTGTCATCATCATTATCATCACCATCATTTTCATGAAGGAATCTTGTCAAGAAACTAGGATTAGCAACTCTTACTGAAATATAAACTCTACATTGTGGCTCCATTTCTGGATCAAAGCTCACTAGAACAGGGGTCTTAGCTTGTAGCTCCCGCAAATTATTGAGTGTGGTCTTCCAGTCACCCTCCAGAGGTTGCCATCACATCTCCTTTTTCTGGTTTAATAGAAGGACAAAATTGCAATTTTTATGTATTCAGTATGTCTGAATAAACAGATGCTGGTTTTGCTTCCTGTTAAACAATATTTCAGCTCAATCAATGGCATCTATTTTTCATCATGACCCCATGCCACCCCTCTGCCCTGCCCTTTTCTATTTATTTATTTCTATCCCACCTTTATTATTTTTACAAATAACTCAAACTGGCAAACATGTCCAACATACCTTCCTCCTACTATTTTCCCCATAACAACAACCCAATGAGGGAAGTCACCCCCCCTAGAAGAATGAAATATTTTGAGAAATATTAAAAAGGCAGAATATTATATTTCCCCTAAATGAGAAATAGAAATCTTAAGGGAGACAGAAACTCAGAGCTTCAGCTTTCTGCCCCCAGCAAATATTTGGTGCCCATTAGGAAAGACTGGGCCAGCCTATCTACAACACAAAAGACCTTCAGCTCCAGGATGATGGGATTATTCTTCAGGGAAAAGCCATTCAGCCACAATAGGAACTGCACAACAAGCCCCTTTGTTACATCAGCCCAAGCTTCAACCAAGCTTGACTCAGATAACCTACAAAATCAGTTATGACCTCTGCATAGCCCCATGGGAGTTTGACAGCAACCAATAGAATGCATGCTCTTGCCACAGGAATAGGAAGCTCAAGTTCAAAGCCCAGAGACGGTATAAATAGCTCACTCTCCACTTCATGTGGTCAGCTGCCCAGGACATCAAACCTATGTGATCTTATTCATCAATAAACCATCTTTCCAATCAGCCTCCATGTTTCCAGTATCTTTCTCCCCGCTTGGAATTGAACCAGATGAATATTTCTTCCAACACTTTTGAGGTGGGAGAGTGACTGGTTCAAAACCAGCCAGCCAATTTTCATGCCTAAAGCGGGATTAGAACTCCCTGTTTCCCGGTGATTGGCCCAAAGTCTCTCAGCTGGCTCCCCTGCTTGAGGCAGACTAGAACTCACAACTCCCACTTTAAGGGTAGGCAGTCTCCAGCTTGCTGTGCAGAAGTTATAAATATTTGTGATGTGATTAGTCTGAGTTTTTACACCAAAAGTTTACAAACTCAGAAGTTTGCAATAAACAAACAATAAGTTAGGTAGCCTCCAACTTACAACCATTCGCTTAGTGACTGTTCAAAAGTTACAACAGAAGTGAAAAAAAGTGACTTATACTAGTCTTTGCCTTTACATACTATCGCAGCCCCTCCATGGTCACATGACCAAAATTTGGGCATTTGGCAACTGGCTTGTATTTATGACAGTTGCACCATCCCAGGGTCATGTGACCACCATGTGTGACCTTCCCAACCACCTTACCACAAGCAAAATCAACGGGGGAAGCCAGATTTATTTAACAACCACAGGATTCACTTAACGACAGTGTCAAAAAGAGGTAATAAAACTGGGCATGACACACTTAACAAGGGAGCCTCTTGCTTAGCAAGAGAAATTCTGATCCCACTTGTGATCATAAATCAAGGGCTATCTGTAATTAAAAGGGGTGCTTTCTAAGGTATTTCACCTGGATGCAAAATAGCAGCCCCGCCTAAGAGAGATCCTCAGGTATCATGAACGGCGTTTGTAAGAGGTGTTGTTCAAAGGATGCACTTCAGTGGCCCTTTCTTGGCTTCCTCTCTATCTGCTGTTTTTTTTTTAAAAGCAACAATCAGAAGGCAACTAGCGAGAAAGTAACCAGTCCTTTAAGTGTCTCGCTGCCCAATTGACCATGGACGACTTTAACAATTCTCTCTCGCTCATTTGTGACATTGTATTAGCATGACCGCCTTCGTCTGAAAGCAATCATTCTTATTCAAATATTGCTGTTTCCATCTCCCCCTTTGACTTTGGCTGTCTGGCTGTTTCTGCCCTGCCCAGCTGGTATAATAATCTTTCTATCCATCTCCAGCAATTCAGGAATTCTGAAAGAGCTCCTACACTGGACAGCTAAATCCCTGTCTGCGTGTTGTCTTCTCCCTCCATTCTGCATGGATCCATTTCAATCAGGTGTTTTTTTTAAAAAAACCCAACTTGGTCCATTCTTCTGCATCTGCAGAAGAATGAGCAGATCCCATTTCTGGTTTGCTCTGCTTATAGCAAGAGGGAGAGGAGGGGGGAGAGAGAGGGAGAGAGAGGGGGGAGAGAGAGAGGGAGAGAGGGAGAGGGGGAAGAGAGAGGGGGGAGAGGAGAGAGAGAAGGAGGGAGAGAGATGGGGAGAGAGGGAGAGGGAGGAAAAGGGAGGGAGAGGGGGAGAGAGAGAGGGAGAGAGGGAGAGGGGGAAGAGAGAGGAGAGAGAGAAGGAGGGAGAGAGGGGGAGAGGGGAGGGAGAGAGGGAGAGGGGAGAGGGAGGGAGAAAGAGGGAGGGAGGGAGAGGGAGAAGAAGAGAGGGGGGAGAGGGGGGAGAGGGAGAGAGAGGGGGAGAGAGGAAGAGAGGGAGGGAGAGGAAGGGAGAGAGAGGGGGAGAGGAGAGGGAGAGGGGAGAGGGAGGGAGAAAGAGGGAGGGAGAGGGAGAGGAAGAGAGGGGGGAGAGGGAGAGAGGGGGAGAGAGGAAGAGAGGGAGGGAGAGGAAGGAAGAGAGAGGGGGAGAGGAGAGGGAGAGGGGAGAGGGAGGGAGAAAGAGGGAGGGAGGGAGAGGGAGAAGAAGAGAGGGGGGAGAGGGGGGAGAGGGAGAGAGAGGGGGAGAGAGGAAGAGAGGGAGGGAGAGGAAGGGAGAGAGAGGGGGAGAGGAGAGGGAGAGGGGAGAGGGAGGGAGAAAGAGGGAGGGAGGGAGAGAGGAAGAGAGGGGGGAGAGGGAGAGAGAGAGGGAGAGGGAGGGAGAGAAAAGGAAGAGAGAGAGGGAGGGAGAGAAGGAGAGAGAGGGGGGAGAGAGAGGGAGGGAGAGAGAGATATACAGACACACAAATACACAGAAATATATACACAGCCAATTTCACCATCCCTTTATTAGAAGAGGTCACTGGATGCTATTGAATTTGTTGGTCATTTTCTGCTGTCTCCACGTTTATCCTGAAGTTCTCACCTGATGGAGCTCCTGCAAATACAAATGCAAAGAGTAACAAGAGTCATAAATACCGTATTTTTCGGAGTATAAGACACACCTTAGTTTTTGTGGAGGAAAATAAGAAAAAAGCTGATTGGCAGGTGGATTGGCCTCCCAGAATACTCCTAATCAGCTGTTTCCAGAGGTGAATTTTAGTAACAGGTTGGTTGGTTGTGAGCTCTGTGCTTTGCTTTTTTTTTTTCTGCCTCTGAAAGCCTCCGAAACAGAGCTTCAGAAAAAAAGGCTTTTTTTCTGAAGCTTCTTTCAGAGGCTTTTATTCTGAAGGACTATCTGTACTCTGTTCAATCTCCTTTCTTTGGTATTGGTATGTAGATTAACCTCTTCCTATCTGTTGGTTATTGTATCATTCTCCAGATTTGTTAACATAGTTTGGTTAGAACTTTTACTGATTCCTCTTTTGTTGCTTGCCTTTCAGAGGCTTTTTTTCTGGAATTCTGTTTGGAGGCTTTTTTTCTGAAGCTTCTTTCAGAGGCTTCTTTCAGCCTCTGAAATCTCCATTTGCCAAGCTGGGTGGGGCTACATTCGGAGTATAAGATGCACCCAGATTTCCACTCTCTTTTTGGGGAGAAAAAGGTGCACCTTATACTCCGAAAAACACATTACATGCCAGTTGCCAAACGCCAGAATTTTATCCATGTGACCATGGGGATGTACAGTGGTTGTAAATGTGCAAAACAATAGCCAGAGCAATAGCACATACTTATATTACGCTTCACAGTGTTTTACAGCCCTCTGTAAGTGGTTTACGGAGTCAGCTTATTGCCCCCAACAATCTGAGTCCTCGTTTTACTCACCTCGGAAAGATGGGAGGCTGAGTCAACCATGAGCTTGTCAGGATTGAACTCGTAGCAGTAAGCAAGTGAACCCTACTAACATCATTTTTTCAATGCTGTTCTAAGTTCAAACAGTCACTAAATGAATGGTTCTAAGTTGAGGACTACCTGTGCTGAATGTCAGCAGTTTGTTTCTGACATTTTTCTTTTAAAACAGGGCACCTGTTTTCATTTCATTTCAAAGAAATGAAAATTCCTTTGTTCTGAATCAACTGCTCCTTCCAGTTGACCAAAAGAAATTTGGAAGGAATTTTCAGACATGCTGAAAATCAAGTAAAGAAATGTTTAAAAAGCCAGCCCTAAACTGCTATCTGATAATACAGAGCAAGTTGTCCATATTTCTTTATTGATATTATTACAAAATTGCAAATACGATATTCCTAGAGCTATAATTTAATAGCAATTCCCGATAATTTAAAAATGGAATTGATCAGTCAGCAAAATAAATCACAATAATCAATCCAACTCACATGACTGCAATTTCCGCTCTCCCCACATCCCCAATTTCTCTAGTTGAGCATCTTAACTCACAACCGTTTGCTGTGCAATCTTGGGACTCATCATGAATTGGTTCCAGGAGGCTCAGTGAGCACCCAAAATGACGAGTACCAAACAATTTTTTTCCATAAGGAATAATGTCAATAAATTTAATGCATTCCCAAACCCAAGACAATGCACATTTTTAAGGCAATACATAAAAAGATAGGGTTGTGTATCATTACTTTACATGAGAAATAAACCTAAAAATTAATAAATACTTAGCGTATTTTTCGGAGTATAAGATGCACCCACCTTTTTTGGTGAGGAAAAGAAGAAGAAGAAATCTCCCTCTGCCTCTGAGCAATTTTGCCTCCTTGCAGCAAACAGCCTGCTTTACTTTCATTTTCATTTTCAGCATAGCTTGATTAGCACAAGGAAAAAAAAAATCTGCTCCAGCAATTTACCTCTTTGCAGCAAGCAGCAGAGCCCTGCGCAAAACAGCTGAGAGCAAATCAGCTGAGAGTTGAGAGGCCGATCCAATCAACTTGTGCTAATTAGGCTGTGCTAAAGCTGAAAGGAGCTGTTTTTTCTTGCTGTTTGCTTGCAAGAAGGTAACTGCTGCGAGGCAGAGGCCAAAGAGTGGGGGCCAGTGGGTGGGCGGGGCTACATTCAGTGTATAAGATGCACCTAAAATTTCACCCCTTTTTAGGTGGGGGGAAAGGTGCGTCTTATACTCTGAAAAATAGGGTAGATTAAATAAAATGAAATCTTCGCTTTACTGGTACTGATTTTTTAAAAATGCAAAAATACACAACATGATCACAGAAGCTAAAATAAGACTACAAGGGGATGTGCACAGGGCAAAAGTTACTGCATGACTAATGTGTCAAACTTTTGTTTCAGTTGGAAAGGTAGCAAGTCACAAGGCAACCAGCAACTTTAGCTTGCACATTGAGTACTAAACAAAAGACAAATATTGGGACAAAATTTTCTAATCAAAATCCATTGAGTACCAAATTTGATGAGTTTCAAAGCAGTTGAGTACCAAAGTATCTCTGTACAAGATTCCCTCAGTCTGCCTGGTACAATCAGACATATCCAGGTGTAGGAAGCCCCCTCCTTCCCCTGCAAGAATGAAATATTTGGGGGGAATATTAAAAGAGGCAGAATATTATATTTTCCAAAAGGAGAAATGGAGAAACATGTTCTTAAAGGCAGAAAGCAGCCCCAGTCTTGCTGCCAGAAGAGACTGGTCTTTAGGAATGGAGATTTTGTATCCATTCAGAAAGAACTGGGCCAATGTATTCATAAACAAAACGTCTTCAGCCACAAGCTCCCACCAAAGGCTGGAACTGATAGGGTTAAAAAAAAGTAGAAAAACAAAGACTCCTAAAATCTACATTCCCCCACCCACATTCTCAGGACAGGCCATTTAGAACATAATAGGATTTACCCACCACCATTAGAATAGCAAAAGCCACAAGGTTCGCTACATTGCACAACCCCCTGGAGCATCTCAATCATCAAACCCTATAAAGAGCAATCCACTCACTCAGCCATTTTGTCAGCCACCCCAGAAACATGCTCCTGTCACTGAAGTTTCTGGAAACCAAATAAACAGAGACCTTCTTTCCTTTTAGCCAGTCTCCATGGATTTTTTTTTTTTAATTTTTCCCGGCTTAGAACTAACTGGACTGCATTTTTCCTCCAACACAGGGCTCTTAAAGTAACTTCTCCATTTAACAAAATCCCTAAGCTGCTACCAAAACAGGGAGTAGTTACAAAGAAAATTTCATAGCCAAATTTAAAAAAAAAAATCTTCACTTCTTGGCTCACCAGCTGTCCCCAGAAATCAAGATTTAGAAACAGGATCTCCACCAATTTTGCAAAATGCTTCCTTGATTCCTTGCTGATCTCAGGGTTTACTCTGAACACAAGGATACAGGCATAGAAAAGTATATTTCTCTTCGTTGATCTTCAAGTTTGCATTCTTCCTTCTGCTTTCCTTCAGATCAGGAAGTTTGTCCTCAATTTGCAACTGGTTGCTTAGTGACGGTTCAAAGTTATGATGGATCATGAATGGACGGTCTCAATTCAAAGTTTGAATGTCTGCCCTTCCACCCCCACCCCATGGTCATGTGACTGCTTGGCACCATTTTTGGCTACCTGCAGCATCCTACAATTATGTAACTGGGATTAATCCTTGACTTAAGTTAACTTTGAAGGATTACAGAAGAAATAGTTGGTGAGCCTGCCTATTATGCTTGTAAGTCACAACCTCAATTGAACCCCAAGTTTCTGTTGCTAAATGATGGCTGTTAAGTGAATTTTGTAATTTTGTAAAATTAGTAATACAGTTCTTACTCGTCACTTGTTAAATGGCTTCCCCATTGATTTTCTTGTCAGAATGTCACAAAAGGTGATCATATAACTCCAGGACACTGCAACCATCATAAATATATGCCAATTGCCAAACGTCCAAATTTTTTTTTTTAATTTGATTTATATGCTGCCCTTCTCCGGAGACTCAGGGCGGCTTACAATGCGTTAAGCAATAGCCTTCATACTTTTGTATATTTTATACAAAGTCAGCTTATTGCCCCCACAAACTGGGTCCTCATTTTACCTACTTTAGAAAGGATGGAAGGCTGAGTCAACCTTGAGCCTGGCGAGATTCAAACCTGCAGTAATTGCAGGCAGCTGGTCTTAATAACAGGGTGCTTTAGACCTCTGTACTATCAAGGCTTTGATCATGTGTGAAGCAGTGGGATGGTCAAGCATTGGAGAAGTAATGGGGTTTTGTAGAAAGGGAGAGCCTGGGCTTGGGGCTTCCTTTAAAAGGAACTGAGAATTTTCTATTTACGCGAGTGCACAGGAAGAGGTAGTCCTCATTTATCAACTGCCATATGTCCAGGCAACTCTGTCATTAAGCAATGCAGTTGTAAAGAGAAACATCAAGTGTCTGTGTCCACCTTAGGCCCATTGCTAAGAGGTCTGTAAGGGACGTGCATAAGTGCACCAGCGTACCTACTGCCCATGTCCTAATATTCCTTTTTTACTTACTCTTTTCATGTATTCAAATTATGTTTGTACTTTTACCTGTTATCTTATATATGCTTGACAAAATAAATAAATAATAATAAAATAGTTCCAGCAGTGGTCATGAAGCAAGTCACTCATAGCTGTTCATGGGGCTGTGATTTCTGGCTTCCTGCCAACTTTGACTTTATAGGAAGCTGACTATAAAAGTTGCAAGTAGCGATCGCATGAACCATGGGAAGCTTTGACCATCATAAATGCATGCTGGTTGCCAACTGCCTGAATTGTGATCACATGACTGCAAGGATGCTGCAACCATGACAAGTATGAGGACCAGGGGTGGGTTTCAAATTTTTTTACTACTGGTTCTGTGGGCGTGGCTTATTTTGTGGCATGGCTTATTTTGTGGGTGTGGCTTGATGGTCATGTGACAATTATTTCGGATTTAGCAGAGGTACTGGTCTACCAGGCTGTGCCGATCTACCCATTTATTTTTGCAGGCACTGATCTACTCATATATTTTTGCACGCACTGGTCTATTCATGTATTTTTGCAGGCACTGGTCTAGTCATGTATTTTTGCAGGCACTGATCTACTCATGTATTTTTGCAAGCACTG